AGTTGTCTTCTTAGGCTGGGTTATCTAGAGAAGCAAAACCAGTAAAATTTACGTCAAGGAAATGGCTCACAATTGTAGACATGGGAGAGTCCCAAGTCTCAGTGAGATGAACCAAGATCAGCAGGCAGGCAGGTCAGGTAAAAAGACAGGCAGGCAGACAGGAAAACAACTGATTCAAGTCCAAACAACCAGATTCAAGTCCAAACAACCACTGATTCAAGTCCAAACAGCCAGAGGTTGGAGGACAAGCTATGCAAAATCCAGACCCAACAGAAAAACAAGCAAGCTGTGCCTGAGTGTCTATTTTATTGGAAGGATAAACACTCGACCACAAGGTCAGTTTGAACTGCAAGGTCGATGGTTCAAACTCACTAGTCATTTCTCAGAAACCCTATGCAAGGTCGTTATGAGTCAGAACTAATGCGACAGCACTTAATAGCAATAAAAACAGGCCACACCACCAAGGAAACATCTTTTTAATTGATGGGCTGCTCATAGCCAATCACTGTAGAGTTAATTACACTGTATTAGATCTTACCATGAGGATAATCACATCTCAACTGCCAAACAATTGGGAATCCTGGCCGAATCAAGCTGACACAAAATCTTAAGCACAGTTGTCAAAAATGAAATGGACCATATAAACATCGATAACCTAGACGTTAGTGAACAGACACGGACTGGTATTGGCCAATATGAATCTAACAATCATATGGTTTACTATGCCAGATGACAGATTACAGAGGAATGGTGTTACATTCATCACCAAAAAGAAAATTTCAGTATCTAGAAATACAGTGTGATAGACTAATATCCATACGTCTACACAGAAGAACATTGGTGTGGCACTGTGGGTTAATGAGCTGGACTGCAAAGTTGGTTTGATCCGTAAGATAGGCAGTTCAAGCTGACCAACCACTCCTTAGAAACCCTATACAGAGTCATTATGGGTCAGAACTGACTCGACATCACTTAACAACAACAACTATTCAAATTTACTCACCAACCACTAAAGCTGGTGATGATGAAATTGAAGAATTCTACCATTTCAGTCTGAAATTGATCAAATATGCAATCAAGATGTATTGATAATTACTGGTGATTAGGATACAAAGATTGAAACAAAGAGGATCAGTAGTTGAAAAATATGGCTTTGCTGATAGAAATCATGCTGGAGAGCACATGTTAAAAATGTCAAGATCAATGCATTATTCATTGCAAATACCTTTTTAAAACAACATAAAAGACGACTATACAAATGGCCCACACCAGATGGAATACACAGAAATCAAATTGACTGTTACATCTGTGGGAAGAAATGGTGAGAAAGCTCCTTATTATCAGCCAAAACAAGGCCAGGGTGGAACAGACCATCAGTTAATCATATGAAAGTTCAAGCTGAAGCTGAGGAAAATGAAAATGAGCCCATGAGATCTCAAATATGACCCTGAACATATCCCACCTGAATTTAGAGATCATTTAAAGAACAGATTTGATGCATTAGACATTAAAGACCAGAAGACACTTGATGCATTAGACATTAAAGACCAAAGACCAGGATGACATTATCAACATTATACAGGAAGAAAGCAAAAGGTCACTAAGAAGACAAGTAAGAAAGGAAAAACCAAAATTCATGTCAGAAGGAAGTCTGAAATTTGCTCAATAGCATAGGGTTGCTAAAGCAAATGAAATAAATAAGGAAGTAAAAGAAATGAACAGAAAATATAAAGGACAGCTCAAAAAGACAAAGTAAAGTATTATAGTAAAATGTGCAACAACCTAGAGTCAGAAAGCCAAAAGGGAAGAAGTCACTCAGCATTTCTCAAGCTGAAAGAACTGAAGCAAAAATTCCAGCCTCAACTTGCAATACGTAAGTGTTCCATTGGCAAAATATTGAATGATGTAGAAAGCATCAAAAGAAGATGGAAGGAATACACAGTCACTGTACCAAAAAGATGGTCGATGTTCAGCCACTTCAAGAGGTAATATATGATCAAGAGCCAATGGTACTGAAGGAAGAAGTCCAAGGTACACTGAAGGCATTGGCAAAGAACAAGGCTCCAGGAATTGTAGAACTACAAATTGAAGTCTTTCAACAAACTGATGCAGCACTGGAGGCACTCTTCTATGCCAAGAAATTTGGAAGACAGCCACCTGGCCAACTGATTGGAATCGATCCATATGTGTGTACATTACAAAAAGAAGTGACCCAATAGAATGTAGCAATCATCAGACAATATCATTAACATCACATCCAAGTAAATTTTTGCAAAAGATAATTCAGAAATGGCCAAAGTTGGAAGCTGGAGTCAGACAAGGACGTGAAACAAAGGATATAATTGCTGATGTCACATGGAGCTTAGCTGAAAGCAAATAATACCAGAAAGATGTTTACCTTTGGACTATGCAAATGATTTTGATGTGTGGCTCATGAAAAGCTATGGATAACATTGTGAAGAATGGATATTCCAGAATACTTAATTGTGCTCATGAGGAACCTGTACATAGACCAAGAAGCAGTCATTAGGACAGTACAAGGGGATACTGAATGGTTTGAAATCAGGAAAGGTGTGTGTCAGAATTGTATTCTTTCACCATACATATTCAATCTGTATGCTGTGCAAATAATATGAGAAACTGGATTGTATGAACAAGAACATGGCATCACGATTGGAAGGAGATTCATTGATAATGTGCTATATGCAGATGACACAACCTTACTTGCTGAAAGTGAAAAGGACTTACTTACTCATAAAAATCAAAGATCACAGCCTTCAGTATGGGCTGCACCTCAATGTAAAACAACAAAAATCCTTACAACTAGACCTATAAGCAATATCTTGATAAATGGAGAAAATATTGAAATTGCCAGAGTCTTAATTTTGCTTGTATTCCATATGAACTCATGGAAGCAGGTCAAGAAATCAAATGATGCATTCACATTAAACCCATGTTAAAGTTCCAAATTTTACAAGCACAGTTTGTTATCCTACCAGCATCTTCTCCCATCTCTTCTTACCCAGATCTATTAGGGAAAAACTGTTGTTTGATGGGGGTTTTACAAAGACTATAAACAGAAGAGCCATATGAAATAATGTAATGTGCTGTAACCTTGCTCATTCCTAGAAGACAGAGAGTCTGGTCATGATAGAGATGACGGGGCTTTCTACAATGGTAGTGCCTGTGCTTTGCCCAGAGGAGGTCTGAATTCTAGAACCCCATTCCCTGCCCCATCACTCCCACCTTCTTGTTGCTAGTTGTCATAAAGATAATCCTGACTCATGGCAACTCCATGTTTGCAGAATAGAACTGCTCCATAGGGTTTTCACAGCTGCGACCTTTCAGAAGCAGAGCACTATGCCTGTCTATCTTGGGTAGGTTTGAACCACCAACCATTCATCTATTAGCCAAGTGCTTAACCATTTGCATCCCTCAGGGTACTTCTACTACCCTTAACTCCAGAATTTTTTCTCTAATGGCAGACACTGTGCACAATTCATTGCAACACAGCCTCACTGTGCTTTGATTCACATCAGTATATTGACTTCTTGAAAAAGATCTAGCTAAGAAAAGCAACCAAATATATTGCCATTAAGTTGATTCCAACTCGCAGTGACCCTATATAGGATTTCAGATGCTATAAATCTTTATGGGAGCAAATCGTCTCATCTTTCTTTTGCTGAGCCACCCATGGATTTGAACCACCGACGTTGCATTTAACAGTCCAGTGCTTATTAAATTTTATGCCCTGTACCTGATGCTGCAGTGGTTAAGTGTTAGGCTGCTAACTACAAGGTCAGCAGTTCAAACCCATCTGCCATTCCACAGGAGAAAGATAAGGCTGTCTATGCCCATAAAAAGTGTAAGTTCTTGGAAACCCTATGATGGTTCTATGTCCTATAGGGTTGCTGCAAGTCTGAATTGACTCAATGACCATCAGTATGGACTCCAACTGCATTTGAAAAACTACTGTATGATATAGTGATGTTTTGTGTTCTTATTCATAAAGATCTAACAAGTGTAACAACAATTGAGAGGATGGCATAGGACCAGGCAGTGTTTCATTCTGTTGTGCATAGAGTCGCTATGAGTCAACACCAACTCAACGGCACCTAACAATAACATTTCTTATGGAGTCCTGGTGTGACGCTGCAGGATAAGCTTTGGACTACAAGGTCACTTTGAACTGCAGGTCAGTGGTTCAAATTCACCAGTCACTCCACAGAAACACTATGCTCGGTCGCTCTGAGTTGAAACTGACTTGCCAGCATTTAACAACAACAGCATTTTTCATATAGGTGAGAGGAGTAGTAATTTTGAATTTGGACTGTTGTTCAACCCTGGTCAATAACACAGTTTTGTTGGCAAGGGCTTTGAACTTGGTTGAATGTCCAGGCTGGATATTAAATGAGTTGTTGCAGACTGTCTCTACATTTATTGATTTCTAAAGCTCTGGTAGCATAGTGATTACGAATCAGGCTGCTAATCTCACAGTCAGCAGTTCAAAACTACCAGCTGTTCCGCGGGAGAAAGATGAGGCTTTCTGCTCCTGTAAAGATTTGCATCCTTGGAAACCCTGTACAGGGTCGCTATGAGTCAGAACGGACTCCACAGCACATAACAACAACAACAATGCTTTATGAACTCTCAGCAAACACGTGCTTTTGAGGGGTGTTGGTTTTCCAGGATAACTAGTAACCTGGGAACCCAGAAGCCTTTGTTCAATTCCTAGCTGTCCTCAGGATAAGTCACTTTTCTCTCTGTGCGTTGGTTTTTCCATGTGTTCCCTCAGTGGAATAGAGAAACACCACTCAGTACTCTTCCCCACCTAGCCACATACACCAACAATTTTAACAAATGCAGTATTTGGTGAACTGTTTGGTGAAATGTTGCTCATTTGCTAGGGAGCAAAGATAGTGACTTCTTTACCCAGTACTTTTCATGGAGTGAAAAGCTATTGCTATTAATAAAGTCTTATGTCATCCTTCTCTCCTTAGCTTGCCATGAAGCACAAATGTTGAGAAACTGCCTAAGCTGGTGATCCCTTAGGAGGAATAGAAGAGTTTGTTCAGCAGTTTTTACAAGAATTCTGGACCTCTGCTTGCTTCTTTTTTCCAACTTATGGACATTGAAGTTTTTTGGTTTTCTTTTTCAAATGTTAATACAAAAGAAAAAAAGTTGTGTTTATACATTTTCCTAATGATCTTGCTAAAAATGCTACATTCCCATTAGCTTCATTTTGAGTTTTTCCCTGACTTGTGTATGTGTGTATGTCTTCCTTTAAAAAATGTTTTATATAGTTTGAATATGAAATGTAAACTAGGTCTAAACTAGTACCATGTTATGTTTTGGTTTTTATTTCATTATTAAGCAGGAAGACATTCCAATGTGGTGGCATCAGATATTATTGTTTCGGTATAAAAATAAAAATCAAGCAGTGATTGATTTCACTCAGTCTCCTGCCCTACCTAAGCTTACATAGAAGGTTAAAATTCTGTATCCTAAGGCATAAATCTGTACCATGGAAAACAATTGGATTTATCAGGAAACCAGCAGTCTTAGATTTTGCTCTTTATGTAGTCGTATTTCGCATGAGCCATCACCAGCATTCAAAAATACAAATCAGTCATGATAGAAATCTTTCTGAGCTGTAACTCTCAAACTTAAGTTATTTCAGATTTAAATTGTTAAAAAAAAAATTTAATCCCACTACTTGGTTCCAGACTGATTATTTGGAATTGTCATATGTAAAATCTAATTTGAGATAAGAGAACTAAGGAAAAGCCTCCTTAGAAACCTCTGTACTTTCCTGGCTGTTTGTCTCTCCTGTCATTGTACCAAGTGACAGTAGCTGGTATTAAAAAGAACTTGGATTTTTATCAAAAATTGATCTGTTAAGATAAAGGTCTGTGTAAATGCTAATGTGAAAAGATACTACATTTTAAAAAAAATTTCACAAAAGTCATGTGTATTTTAGAGACTCTCTTGCATTGTCCTTGGAAAATGGCCTCAGTTCCTTGGTATTGGATTTACGGGCGTTTTGATGTTGGTATTATTCTTGTCTATTTATTTAATGTAATTTAAATTATGGTTCTCTTGACAAATTGCATTTCATGATAATTGCAACTTTCTTTCTCTGACATAAAACAGCACAGTTATGAAGACTTTATGTTGCAGTCAGATTTAATAAAGTTGGTTGATACACCTCCTGACCTTGTATTCCCTCCCTACATTGCTGGGTTTGGAATCTGCAAGTTCTGTGTCCTGGTGGGTTAAAATGCTAACCTAAAAGCTGGGCTTTTTCTTCTTTAAACAAGGAGGCAGGATCAACATCCCAGGCTCATCCTCAGTGTCCTGCTTTAATGCATTCATTTTACGCTTCAGAGTCCATTTCTCTGCCTTTCTACCTATTGAGTCCAACTATTGTAGTCTCCTACATAGCGGTGGAAAATGATGCTTGGGTCATTAGTGTTGATTTAAAATAGTCTAAGATCTCCTAATAAAACATACCTAGAGACACAGACAATTTTAATTACTGGGATAAAGAAAAGGATCTCTTTTGCAGCCCATGTTAAATGGGAGATGATATTTGCCTGACACAAATTTCTGAATCCTCTTAAGGAGGTGATCCAGTTAAGGAATATACAATTTATATTGTAAATTGATATGCTTACTGTTATATTTTGTGCTTTACATTTGGTTTCTTAAACATTTAAAGAAGCAAGGAACTTGCCATCTGGTGAGTGTCATTGGGAGCACTAATAATTTCTTTTAGAAAAGCCCCAGATATCATTTCAGATAGGGTTTGTCAGCAGACCTCAGTTCGGAAAACACACACACAGTGACATACACATACACATTTCATTATCTTTTCATTCTATTTGTCCACAAACTTTTTGAAACCCTGCTTCAGAGATAGTTGGCATGAATAATTCAAAGGGTAAATCTAAAACTCCTGAAAGTTGGCCAAACTCTCAAGAATAAATTTGGTTGCCAACTGTCTAACAACAGTGTTTGGGAAGCTATTTCTGAAGTAGTGAAAGATGAGGTCATAAGCGTACTGTGAAATTTGAAACTCCTCCTCCCTATTGTGATCATTACTTGTCATAAATAAATAGCCCTCACCTTGCCCTCTCCCCTCAAGCTCTGAATATCCTTTTGGATGTCAATCTTATTGAAAAGATCCTGGCTTAGAAGGAAGCCCATCTGAATCTTTATTAGCTTCCTTTATTAGCTACAGTCAGTGGTTATGTCCTTGAGTTTCCGGTGTCAAACTCCTTCCTAGGCCTCCCCAAGAGAAGTCTTCGAACAGCAATCCCTGTGTCTCCTCTACCTCCCAGCCTCTTGCAGAAGAGTCCCATGCTAACACTGGTGGTATTCCTAGCTATCCTTTTGTGGGCGGTGCTGCAATATAAAAACTTAATCCAGTTTAACCTAAAGAAACTTGCTAAAATGACACCGCATTTGGGACCAATTCATTTGGATGAGCTTGCTAGAAGACTTAATTTCTGTTGATTTCTGCACTTCACTATACATTTTGGGAATATTAGATATCTGTGAAGGACTCCTTAAATTGTATTGACAGTGCATAAAGAAAAGAAACTTCCCAGTGTTACCACTTCCTGGAACGGAGCTGTAGTAGTCTTCACTAGTATCATTAGGTATCTGTGTACAGGAAGTATACAGTTATTCAGGTTAATGTTTCCTATTAAAGAATGTATTTGTAAAATGTAACATGATCAGTAGTTAACTTTTTTTAAGTGCTGAAAAAATAAAGATTATGTGTTAGACTTATAAGTACAGTGAAATTTGTTTTTCGCCTACTTTTGTGACTAGCAAAGGTTGTACATTTATGTAAACAATATTTACATAATTCCCTAAATATGGGATATTAAAGATAAGTTTCACTCTTCGTTTTCAAAAGTGTGACATTGCTAAATTCTGATGTACAGTTATTATTTCTTCACAAGTTCTCTAAGATGTCAAATAGAATCTTTGTTTCATTCAGAGACAAGTTAACACCTGCTCTATTGTTCATTATTACAGCAAATACTAATTTTGTCATTAAATATTTTAACTCTGTGATGAAAGTTTGTTTCTGTTATTTGTGAGCTGTATAAAATATACCAGACAGGTAGGCATCAACACATTTTGATCTTGTGTGTCTTTAAAAGACCCCAAGACATGCTAATTCTAGCATGATGATACAGTTTCCTTATATACATTCCAATGGGAAAAACAAAGACAAAAGGTTTCTATTCAACAAAAGTTAAGTATTCCTTCTAATGAGTAAAGCAATTAATCCAATTAATAGTTACCTGTCTGCTGATATTAATTACATGCCAAACTCAGGTACTCGTGGTTCAACATGTGGCTTCATTCAGCAGACTAGTTTCATACTCTGTTAAATTAGAAAGAAGATTTGATCACATATCAATATATTTTTATGGGAAGCAAGTGTAACTCATTATATTGCCCCATTTACTTTCAAGATGAGAAACTTGGAATACTACAGTAGCGAAACAGCTGTCTCTGGGGTTTCTGGACAATTGGTAAAGGGGGTGGGACTTTGAAATCTATCTGGGAGAACTAAAGGTGGATGGGAAAGGCTGAAGTCTCCACTTCTCAGAAGAGAAAGGAAAGAAATATGGTTAAATTAATTATGCATTTAAAGGTACCAGGTCTTGTGTATTACATTATGCATAAACTGGTTATCTTACAAAAATGATCATTTTTCTTAATGTAAGTTTTACCTATACAACAATCAGTTCTCAAAATTTATGGGATAATTATTTTAAAACTATATATATATATATATATATATATATACACACACACACACACACATACATTTTGTTGTTGTTATTAGCTGCCATCGAGTCGGTACCAACTCATAGTGACACTGCACAACAGAACAAAACACTGCCCAGTCCTGGGCCAACCTCACACTATGTATGTGTGTGCGTTTGTGTGTATTGGAATCCTGGTGTGACCCTGTAGGATAAGTACTGGACCACACTGTTGGTTTGAACTGTAAGGTTGGCATTTCAAATTCACCAGCTACTACTCGGATACACAACACAGGGTCGCCATGAGTCAGACCTGACTCGATGACACTTAAAAATACATATATATATATACATGTATATATATTTATAATCAATGAAGTGCCTTTTCCTCTGCTATTAATGATCATGCTTGGAGAAAAAATGATTGACTTAATCATAGTCATCATCCACCTAAGCAAGGAGACTGGGACCTGGATAAGGAGAAGGGGGAGGAGGAAAAAGACCAGAAATAAATTTCAAACCAAAATGCAAATATTTGAATCTCTCTCATTGATGATATCTATTCTGTGTTCTTCTTCACCTGGTATGGGCTAGCCTTGGGGGTAGCTACACATGTATGCATGTACATGTACACATATGTAGCTGGCATGGAGAAAAGAGCTCCACTGGGGCCCTTGATTCCCTCAGGAAGTCATCGTGTGGCATCTTCTTGCCCACCTGGATGTGGACAGGCAGGTGGCAGTATTCTCAGCTGTCAGAGACACTGGAAAATGTCTAAATTGTGGCATGGCAGAGCATGAGCAATTTAAAGACTTGAGACCTGGAAAGAGAACATATCCCACCCACAAGGAATGTTTCACTTTGTTTTTTGGCATGTGAATGCACTAAACAGTCCTCTTGAACAATACTGTGCAAAAGAGGCATTTTCTTTTGTTTTGCTTTTAGAAAACCCAGAAATTAGATCTTAACTGACTTTGTATAGCCAGAACTAGCCTGAGGGAAAACTGGTCTTCATTGATCCTTCCACCCCCTGCCTTGTTAGCAGTCCCCTTTCTTCCGTCCATGCCCTCTTGGCTTTACTCCCTTCTCAAGCAGTTCTTCCATCCTAGCTGCAAGTCACAGTCACATGGGGGCTTTTAGAAATACATACAGTTCACCCTCAAATTTGTCTTTTTGGTGTCACTGATCTTTTGCAAGGAAAAAAATATTAGTCCAGCAGGCCCCAGATGATGGTACAGTACCTGGCTTTCCTGGATGCTTACTAGATTTAAACCAGCAAGTTAAAGCTGTCAAGGAAATTAACTGTAATGTGCGTTTAAGCCCTATTACTGCTATAGTGTAACCTGCTGCCGTGACCCCCATTTTATTTTGTCCCTTGAGCCTCATTTGGAGTCTCAGGATTTCCTGAGTTGTTTTTCACTTCCCATCCTTCCCCTCCCTGATGTTTT